ATTATTATGAACGCAGTAACGTATCAATGCCAACAGGATTTTTGATCAAAAAGGCGATTTTGATCAAAAATGGAACTTTTGATAAATTATAGACAACATTATGGTCAACTGGTCGAAGCAGTCGTCAAACTGGTGGAGGCATCGGGTTGTGGACCAACACCGGTGGTGACTGAAGAAGACGATCGAACAGAGACGGGTCTGGTTGGCGAGAAGGGAGCTTATTCGGCGATAGAATTGGAATACAATGACCCTTATTGTAAACTCACTTATGCACAACATCAGGATAAGATTGCGAGTGAAATTGCGAATTTTAAAGGTACTTCTAAAAATATCATAGTGAAGCTGGTTATAGGAACGTAAATTATTGTTTGCGTGTGATTATTTGAGGGTGTCTTGATTGCTGATCTATCAGTTTGTTTGTCTGCGAAGTTTATCGTTCGTTTAGCTGTTTCTGGATGAATGTATCTGCGGAGTTGCCTGATTTTTCAGCGTATTTGGCTCAAGCAGTTATGGTTCGTGCGACGTCGATTCGACCAGATTCGGGTGCGTGTATCAATGAACAGTTACGAGGCATACTTACCGCATATGCGCAATCGTGATCGATTGTTTTGATCGAATTTTGTTTGATTTATTGATCGATTGATTGATTGATTTGTGACTTGTTCTCGAGATGATCTTTATATTGATATAAATAGAACTCAACTGAACGCAATGTCAGCGCAATTTGTACTTTATTGTTATATTTTATTGTATAATTTATTGAGAAGTTTAAGTTCGAAAATGTTCTTGGGTATATTGTCAATCGATTGGGTAAATTCATCCAATTGGGTAAATATAGGATGTTCTTGGGTGAATTGTTACATTTGCTTGTTTTATGTTCGTTGAATATTTCTTATATTGTCAATGTAGACAATTATATTCGTTTGCAGAATTGTAATTTCAATGGATGAAGTGTTCTGTTTTGTCGTGAGCAAAAAAATTTTCTTTAGTGTCATTTGTAACGAATCATTCTTTGTTATTAATCATTGAATTCGAGTGGAAAGGGAGAGGAATTATTTGAAGGTGATGATACAATTGGATGTTTGCTGTGAAAACTTTACTTTGCGTTGAAAGTGTTCGTTTTTGGACAGAGGCTTCATTTTAGATTGATTTGGAGAATGGTACCGACAGTGAAAATTGAACTATGATCTGCTTTGATCTGCATCAAATAATGAAAAAAATTAGTGGACTTCTCAAGATTTTTTCAGTTTTTTATCGAAAACGTGACTGCTTTACACGAGTTATACAGCAGAATCGCTGTTTACATACAGCTAAATTGCACATCAATTCTGCGCTGAAAGT